TATATGGTAGGATAAGTGGATCCCAAGGTCATGTGCTCATTGTTGCACCTCCTTTGCTATAAAGCAGGTCCCTTGTCTGGGGTCATGGTTTACGGGATCCTGTGATGATGGCAAGTCATAAGCTGTAAGTCCTTAGATGCTCTGTAGTCCGGTAGTGCTGGTGGAAGCACTGCAGGCAGGAAAGCAAACTTTTCCTTAGAGTATGTATCAGCCTCCACAAGGATGGCTCAATGCCCCTTCTGGGATGGGAGGTGTCTGATATAATCAGTTTAGCACCAAGGAGCTTGTTAGTCTCATGGAGGCATGGTTCTGTACCAAGGGCTTAGAGTTCGTCTCTGCTCTGATGGGTCAGGCATTCAGCAGAGATAGCAGCTAGATTGGCTGTGGGGCCCAGGCATAACCTCTGTCTCTGCCGCCATTGTCACTGTATTCCTGGGCCCAGAGTGCAAGTGAGCAGTGGCCAAAGACTGCGCCTGGCTGACCTCCACCGGATGAGCCACCCTGTCTGCCTGGTGGTTCAGGGGTCTGCTCTTGGGTGGGCCTTGATATGAGACACGAAGATCCACACACCTTGTACCTCCTCCAAAGGTCTACCTACTTGTATCTTCCCCAGAAGTCTTTGTCTCTGATTTTATAATTTTGTTCCTACAAGTTCCCGGGCCAATCAGGTGAGCCATCTGCCACTGCCCAGAAGTCTGTGTATGTCCTTCCCCCAGGCCACTTCTCCCTCCGTGCCAAGTTGATGACCGTTCTACTACTTGGAACTCTACCCACCGGAAGGATTGCCCCTCACCACTGTCTTTTGGGGCCACCCGTGAGTGGGCCGCGGTGCGGCAGCAATCCCTTTTCGGTTTTTACCGACATGTCAAGCCTACCCATTTGTGAACCAGGCCTGGGTTCTTCCTTTTCTATGAGCCGGCCACTGAGAACCTCCACTGAGGCTATGGGGGTAAACTGAGGGGGAGGCACTGGTACAATAGACATAGGTACATGGGGGTGTGGGGGACTGAGTAACTTTGTGCCCTCTGGCCCTCCTCAGGCCTAATCTTGAACATACCATTTGCATCCTAAACTGAGTCGCTGCTTGGCCCACCCAGCTTTGTAACATGACAGGTCTGCAAACACCCAGCTGACTAACGATGGGCCACTCTGGTTGCATCGTAACTTATATCCAATGGTCAAGTGCTCATTCCCCACCAGGGCCCAGGAGCAAGCCAGGATGACACTTTAAACAGCAAATAGGGCCGGCCGAGTGGCGNGACCCAGGACTTTCGAAGGCTGGACGAGGACAGGGCCAACCACCCTCCCGTGGCCTGGGAGGCACAGGGCCCTTCTGGGGCCACCCAGGCCACTGGGACAAAGGCTTCCACCAGCAAGGGCCACAGTCGGACCAGTCCCCTGGGTGAGCCTGAAGGTGGGCTAGGGTCTCCTATAGGGTGGTCAGGGTGGGTCAGGGTCTCCCCTCCCCAGCTAGAAACCTCGAAGGCTGGGGAGCTGCACTAGCTGAGTGCAGGCTGTGTGC